CATGGGCAGCAATTGTTTTGGAAAAAGAAAAAAAAAAACAGAACAGTTATTGATTGTAAGGTCAGTAACCGTTTATAGGTAAGCAGCAATATCAATGGCAGATTTGGGGAAGCATCACAGGATGGAAGGAGTGATTCTAGGGAGCAGGGTATCATTTCAGATTCTAGAAAGGTGATAAAGGGGCAAGGAAGATTAGATGAGGCAAAGATGAACAAATTTGGGAAAATGTGGCAGAAAAGAACTAAGGAGAGAAAAAAATGCATGGAAGAATAACAAAGAGGGAAAATACCGAGGAAAATTAGGACAGAGAGGCAGATCTGGAGGAAAGGAGAACTTCTAACTCTTTTCCAAGTTATGAAGCCAGAGAGGAAAAGGAAAACGAAGAAAGAGAAATCAAAACCATATATCTCCAAAAGTCTTGAGGCAGAAAGTAGCAGAATTTAGATTAATTTAGACTCCAACATCCATATTTTCAAATAAAAGTGATGCTCATGATAGGAATTATATAAAAAGAAGCCAGATGAGTGATAGAATACAGAAAAATGACAGTGATAATTTTTGAAAGAAATATTAACCATATCTCTCCGGTGACACAGTCACAAAGCCAACTCCAAATTAGAGCTGTCCCAGGGTAAATGAAACTAGGGAAGACAGTCAGCATGTGGAAAGGACATCTGCACAGATGGGAGAGTGAAGAAACACTGAGTGAAGTAGAAAAAGAGGATAGATAGCTACAAGGAGAATGAGAACGGAGAGAAAGAATGGGATTAACAGCAGAGATTGATGGAAAGAAAGTGTCCAAGAGGAGAATATTAATGAGAAGTTAAAGAGGGGGAAAGAAAGAAAGAGAAAAAAAGAAAAGAAGCTATTGAGAAAGCAGCAATAAATAAACCTCGTGTATTATGAGGGATATCCTCAGCGTATTAACAGGAAATAGAGTGAGAAGTCTGAAGGAGGTGAATAAAAAGTACATGTGTAAATGAGGAAGATACACTTTTGCTTAACCTAGCCTTTCCTTCTGCAAAGAGGAGGAGAAAAGACAGGGAACTATAGTCAGCTTTGATTCACAGTAGAGTATGTTGGGAAAGTTTCTCACTGACAGTGAGACAGATGTGCAGCAAATTGATTTTAATACTAGTTTGGGCCACTGATGAAGGAATTGGGGTGCAAACAAAAGAGGCCCCATGTCATCACAGCAGGCTGGTCTAGCTCACGTTTCTGCCTGTGTTTAAATTCCACAAGCATCAATGTATCATTATAAGAGCTGGGAGTAGTTGTTTCTTTCTCCTTGTGGTATGGCCTCCTCATAATTCTGCAGCCATATCCCCTAAGGCTTGTTCTTGTGTATTAGTTTCCATGCTCCTTGAAGCAATGTACCTTTACTTGCACTGTTTAACCAAACCTCAGTTTTATTATACAAGCATGGGCAGCACCTCCAGTAGTGCTCAGTAGTTGGCTTAACCCTTCTCCTGTGTTACCAACTTCCATATCAACAGAACTAAGCCAGCTCTGAAGATCCTTTTGAAAAAAATACTTGTAGTATCATGAAATGAGGATTTTTTCATTTAATGTAAGCAAATTCTTTGGCAATTTTTAAAAAGATGGTTTTACTAAGAACATATGAAGTAATGTAGTCTATCAGAATATGAAATCCCATTCAAACAGGTAGATAAGCTTAAATTAAGAATTACTAATCAATATTTTCCTTTAATATTTTGTACTTGTATAAAGAAATACTTTAGACAGTATATTGTGATATGCAAGACATTGAATCTTCACTTATTGTTACATTTACTTAAGAATTTTCTGATAAAGCACTTTTCCATAGGAAAAAAGGATATAATTTGTTGAAACCATATACAGGAATATATAGGAATGTGTGATAGGCTTAAAGTAACTCTGAGTCTTGATTGCTGTTTTATTACCATAGGCCACTTCACAATTTTCTTTTCGTGGAACAGATATCAGTTTCGGTAAGAACAGACTTTACAATCAAGTGCTGTGCAGTTGATTGAAAGAGGTCATTTTCTATCCTCACCCAAAAGGATAGAAGCTTACAGTATTTACCTACAATAAAGGGACAAAACTTAACTCCTTTGTGTTCTCCGATTCAAATGACGCGAGTGTTTCAGACATTCCAGCTGAATGTCATGACCACAGGATAAACAGCTACACCACAATGGCTTTCTATTCATCTTTTCTACAGATGTGTCCCTTTATATAAGTAAATGTTAACTGGAAGAGCGCCTTAAATCTTGGACTCTAAATCGGTATTGTGACTACTGAAGGGAACTAAAAGCATCTGCCCCCCTGCTCCCCCATCTGTATGTAAGGAGATAGAAATGGACGAAACAGATTCCAAAACAGTGAACAGCTGAGGGCCAAAACATTCAAGAACAGTAAGCATAGGACATTGAGATTGAAATCCCTGGCATGAATCGAGGAAGGACTCAACAAGAGA